AAGCAAGAGGCAGCTGTTCCCACTGAAAGCCTCACTGTACACTGGCTGCTCCCCCAACAGACGCTGTGACCAGCACAAACCTATTCCTTGTTTGTGTGTGTGTGTGTGTGTGTGTATGTGTGTGTGTGTGTGTGTGTGTGAGAGAGAGAGAGAGAGAGACAGAGAGAGAAAACAGAACTGACCGCTTTGGAGAATGCTCTTGTAGAGACCCATCTGTGGGTAGCTCTATGGAGAGAATTACAAGCAAGAAGGAGAAACCTCTTAGTAGACTGGAGTGGGATGAAACATTACTATGCTTGTACGTCTGGTGAGGGAATGTAGAAGCTAATAGCAACATTTTTTTGTGTTTTAAAAGTATGCCATGCCTATGGTAACCAAGACACTTCTATTTCTATCTTCTTTAGCCTGTTCTCTACCTGTGGATTAGACATGACAGAGCTGCGGTTGTTATTTATAGATAAGGAAATGAATATTGGGAGAGGTGAAGTGACTTGCCCCAGGTCATATTTTGAGCACAGGCTCATAGAAATGAAGCAACTTTCCCAGGGTCATGAAGTAGTAAGACCTATAACATATTGGGGTTACTTTTAAAATTTCTGTTGGTTTTTCTTTAACAAAATGTTTAATATCAGAAACATTTTCTAGCAAATTGAGTCTATAAGGGGCTTTCAGGTATCTCTTGGGAAATTTGACTAGATGACATTAAGCTACGAAATTCTATGAAACTTAGTGTTTGCCGTGTCCCTGGCTCATGTAACTCCATGAAGTATAATTATCAGCTTCCGCAAGTAATTTCCAAAACAAATAGCTCTTTCTCCCAGCTCAGCATCTGACACCAAAAAGTCTCCAGCCCATTCCTTACTTATCCCATCACCTAGTCATCAATCTGTTCTTTCGACTCCTACTCCCTACAACATGGCAGCTCTATTACTTGGTCAATTGTTCATTTCCTCTGTCAAAGATAACTAGGATTTAGAGCTAGAGGCATAATTTCTCTATAAGTCTAGAAAGCAGAACTGTCATCATGTATTATTGAGATCTTAATTTAATTCCCACTAAAGGGGAATTAAATTGACTAGATTAGTGAAGGTTCACTCTATTTGTCCCTCCTCAGAGAAATGACTAAATCCAGTTGGGTGCCATATTTGGTAGTGGGAAATGGAATAGACTTTTCCATAGGTCAGGGTAGGCGTGTAATTTTCTAGAAAGGAAAATGTCTGCCTTGGTTAGAATGACCAAGTTATTTAAGTTTACTCTGACAAGAGTCTCCCTAGCCTCCTTACCCATCTGAACTGGGAAAAACAGGAGCTAATAGGTGCTCTGTGAAAAGAGATACCCTACCTATCTTCTGATCCAAGAGTCCAGGTTCTATCCACTAACCACACACTCTTCAGGGTGGTAGTTGCTTATTAGTTAATGTTTCCTGAGAAGTGAAGTGCAGTGTCCAATTTTAATGATAAAGTCTGTATCAGTAATAACATATAGCATCCTATTTAGACATCCTATCAAGAAGCCCAAGGCCCTTCAGATTGAAGAATTATGGGTAGTTCTGGGTATTGTTGGCAGTCATTGAGGATGGCTAGTCTGTATGGGTTTGTTTTAGTTTCTCTCTTGATTATCAAGAACATGCTGACACTTAAATGTTAGAATAAGATGTGCTTTTGCTGGTGGGGGGCGGGGCTTATTACAAAGTGCTAGACCAGGCCTGCCCCCTTCTTTTTTCCCCGGTGGAGCATCAGTCTTTGCTACGTGACTCCCACAGAGGTGTCTGTCACGGCTGAGCCAGGCAAGCTTCCTTGAAATGAGATGAGAACACTAACAGTAAATGGTGACAATGCAGAACATAAAAAAGCACAAAGGAAGTCTTCATCCTCACATAGAACTTGCCCAGCATATATGCTGATAAAATCAGATCTGAGTGCATCCTGAGCTCCACCTGTTAAAGGTGCTCACCGCCACTTAGGAGAATGCCAGGCAAAAAAGACCTGGCAATACGTTTTCTGCCTGCTAAAGTGACTAAATTTCTTTCCCTCCCCAACCTGGCTAAAAATACAACCCAGTGCAACACACACACACACACACACACACACACACAAGCCTACCATTTGTTGAACAGATTGTGACAGAATGTCAATTAGCTGTGTTTGGTATGCAAACATCCCCAGTGCTAACTCACCCAGAGGAGGACTTGGAGGGGGAACACAGAGTGTCAGAGAATTAGGGAGCAAGTAGGCTGCCTCAGGGGGTGGGGGTTGGGGGTGGTGGGTGTGGGAGGTGCGGGGAGTGCTAGAGCCAAAACTCACCACCTAGTTGACAGATGAGAGTGGTGCAGTTGCCATTGACATCCACCTAGTGGCAGCAGTTCTAGCCAGAGGCACCTCTAACTTGATTGTTTCAGGCGATGACTGTATACCTTGTGCCAGGGGCTCCAGCAGGCACTGAGGTGCTGAACCATGTGGAAGGTTGCAATTCCTCAGCAGTGGTCTCTTTCAGGCAGGAAATAATCTAGGTTATTCTAACTTTAAATTCCAAGTCAAGGGAATAAAATCTGCTGGAACAGGGAGTTAAAGTTTCCAAATGGTACTAAAGCAGCATTAGGTTTTAGTATATATTCTATGCTAGAGTAGCTAAAACTCCAATCGGTGAAGAAATAGCAAAAATAGGATGGGCCAGTGTTCAACTAGAGATGACACTGAGAGTAGCTGATATGAATAACAGTGGGTCCATGACAGGCCAGGTCTTTTGCTCTGTCCTTTCTGAATTATAAACTACCCACATCAAAGGGCAGTTTGGTTTTAGGATAGATTTGGACATGATCTAGAATTCACTGATTCATTACATAGGTCTGCATTTCCCAAAATGTGGTATGCATTCTACTTGGGGAAGTGCAGGTAATTGTACATAAAAGATCTTATATTTTAACTAGAGGCACGATTCATGCACTGATGGGGTCCCTCGACCTGGCCTGTGGAGATCGGGCCAAAACCTGTGGGGATCAGGACATCCCCCGAGGGGTCCTGGATTGCGAGAAGGCGGTTCTCAGGTGATGCACCCCAGAATTGGGCTCCCTCCTCTCTGGTTCTGGGTGTGTCACCCAAGAACCGCAGCTGCCAAGTCACCGCAGCTCTGCAGCTCCTGTGTTGAGCATCTGCACCCTGGTGGTCAGGGTGCATCATAGCTACCAGTCGGAGCGTCTGCCCCCTAGTGGTCATTGTGCACTATAGCTACCGGTCAGATGGTTGAATGGTCGCTTAGGCTTTTATATACAACTAGAGGCCTGGTGCACGACATTCGTGCACTGGAGGGTGGGGGAGGGGGTCCCCTCAGCCCAGCCTGCACCCTGTAGCAGTCTGGGAGCCCTCAGGGGATGTCTGACTGACGGCTTAGGCCCACATGATGAGCAGGCCTAAGCCACAATCGGACATCCTTAGCACTGCTGCAGAGGACCGCTGCTGCGCTCACCAGCCATCAGCTGGGCTTGTGGCTGAGTGGTGCTTCCCCTGTGGGAGCGCACTGACCAACAGGGGCAGCTCCTGCATTGAGCATCTGCCCCCTGGTGGTCATTGTGCATCATAGCAACCAGTTGTTCTGCCGTTTGGTCGATTTGCATATTACCCTTTTATTATATAGGATAGATAGTTCAACATTTATTTTACTGTGCCTTAAAAGAAATTGTCTTACCACAAACCTGTCATTTCACAGGTGATATTGTTGGCTCTCCATTTATGATGGTGATATGAAATTTCCATTTAAAATACTTTTGGTAAAAATAAATTTATTTGAAAAAATATTAATAATAATACAGAAGGTATTATTATAAGAATATGGCAAAAATCACAAACATGGGATGTAAATAATTGGAAAGTTTGGGAAATACTTCCTTAAGCTAGGAATGAGGTAGACTGACTTGTAGTCAGAAGAGTTTAGAACACCAGATAGATGAAGGGAAAATGGAGAACTCCGAGAGGATCTAGATTCCAGCTCCAACTGGCGTTACACTTGTGTAAGAGCAGTCTCTCTTTGGATCTCCATTTTTCCATACTGATGAAATAACTCTGATGCCTTGTCTAGTTTTATTATTTAGTGGTCCTATTTCACTTACTATTATTGAGATATGAACAATCATAATAACAAGTCAGTATATTAAGATCTGCTGTGTGCTGGATGCTTTCCATAGCCATCATTCTTTTTTGTTGTTGTTGTTGAAAAGTATTACATACGTCTCCCTTTCTCCCCCATTGGCCCCCTGCAAACTGCCCCCGCTCCTCTCCCCAGGCCCTGACCGCTCCATTGTCTGTGTCCATAGGCCATGCATATATGCATACATACTTGGTTGATTACCTCCCACCCAGTCACCCTCCCCCTCTTT